GATCAACTAACCAAGCAAACAATTACTCACTCAAACACAACTCATACTACAATTATTCTGATGTGATCCTCTCACAGACGTACAAAAAATATGTTTACATGAAAGAAAAATACACGTTTTTCTACGTAATATTTCTTGTGCATATGTGAAGAATCATATCAAAATAAGTAGTTTTATTCATTGTGTCGCCACAGAATTATTGTAATTATATTACTTGTGAATGTTCACTTTCGACAGGAAGTATACTGTTAGTACTTTATACCAAATTCTGGATAGAGTATTGACAGTGTACTTCTTGTAGAGTGAGATACAAGTAATTTTGCTCAGTAGGTAAACAGAAATGTGTACCGTTTTCCATAAGTTTTTGTTATTGTAGGTTTTATATTATTCACTGAAATTTTTAGAAAAAACTCTAATTATGTAAAAAATTGTTTTTTGACCTCAAATGAGATCCAATATTGTGTAAGACATACAAACCTTTTAATTGGAATTTTTAAATTTGAACTATAACGATTTTTCTAATTTCTAGGATTGTTAGATTTATTATTTCTCATTTGGAATTATCTAAATAACAAAAAAATCGCATTTTTCTATATTTTGTATTTCAGTTAAAATTGAAATTAAAAAGTTTTTCAATTTTATTAGAGATTTCCAAAATTTGAGATATAATTTATCATATTAACAACTAAGTTACTATTAATCCGCATCAACAATACTTTAAACTTACAATGATAACAGTTTATTCACTAAATTATAAATTATTAGTTACTGTATATTTAATAAAATGTTAATTGGTTGACTCTTGTATTGATTATGTAATATGTGACGGTTGCAAATGTAGTATTTAGTAGATGATTTACCTTAGTATTTCCTATATTCAACATAAAAAGTACTGTAAAAAATGAAGACGATTAAAAACAACAAAATGAAAGTAAATTATTGAAACAAAGATTCAGCATGCAGTTTTAAAACTAAATTAAGAAAGACATATAAATTTAATTGACCGGGAATAAGCCCCTTGCATAGCAAGCTTTTCTGAATGTGTCGTATACCACACCATTAACTGTTCGGATATCTTCATAACTGCGAGGACCTCTAATGATATTCAACAGACAACCCAAATAAAAAATCTTCCCATCCAGACAAATTGATGAGATAATTCAGTGTAGAGCAGGAATCTGGCAGTTGTGTATATCTTGTTACACTCCATCCAATCAATAAATTTTGTATTTTTCATTAGTTTGTCGACCTTGTTTCGGTTGGAATAATTTGTTCTTGGTAGATGAATTTGAATAATTTCTGAAAACAATCATAAAGGACTTGTTAAAACAGTTAAAAGGAAACAGATAATGTATGATAATAAGTTATAAAGGGTAAGTCTCTATTCTATCAAAAGGATTCTTAATAGATTAAAGTTGGACGTAGAAGGCTTACATATCCTGTTCATAGCAGTAGAAATAGAAAATATTGAGAATTTTTATTCAGTGTAACAAATAAAGTTGCAGTTCACATAAGTATGATGTGGATATATAGATGGATTAAATAGGGCATACACGAATATACAAATACATTAATGAATGCAATATGCATCTGGTTTTAGAAAGTAATAACAATATATAAATATCCTTCATATTATATTTATAAAAATCCCGAATATATGGTTAGATAATTCAATTTATACATAATTGCTTCATAAGAATATTAGTTCGAAATTATCGGAGCACAATATTATGTTAGTATTAAAATAATCTTACACTGAAGGAAATTATCGAAATCTTGTATGGTAATGGAGTAGTCCTAAAATCACCATAGTATTCTTTAATTATGAAGCAATTATTAGAAAGTGATTTTCCTTCTATAAGGATGCATTTATGTTTTGCAATCAATTCTTCATCAAAAGTAGCGTGAATCCTAGTGCCCTGTAAATCACACATAAATAGTATTACTATATAATCTATAGATTGATTAAAATAACAATAAACAAAATACATAAGATCGCATACAAACCTCTTCGTCAACTAATACCATTTCTATAACAAAGCCAGACTGCCTATTCTTGACTTTCCAAAGTGAAAATATAGTAGCTCTAACTTTCTGAATTTCACTTGATTGATCTAATTTGGCAAATGGAACTATAACAGCCGAACGTCTGCGGACTAAAACCATTTTAGTAAATGAGAATAGTAGAGTTATAGGGTTTACGATAGGTGGTATATATAGGGAGCGGAAGTCAATGAGAACATTTTAAAATTGATGTTAGGCAGGATTGAAATTATTTTGAAAAAGAGAATGAAATGAAGAATATGGATATTCGGAATGTGCGTAGAAGTAGATATTATTGCGGAAATATTTGAGAATCAATATATTCAAATTGATTTAATTGCCAAAATTGATGTATAGTATTAAAATGTAACATAAATTCTTGTTCCTTATTGAAAAATTAAGATTTCTGTATATTTTGTTACATTAACTCCGGTAAATCTTGCTAATAGTTAATGTAATCTTCTATTTTGGAAAAAATTCCTATTTTCTTACGCGGAAAAGTTTTTAAAAAACTATAATTTCAAAAAATTTATAAATGGGCTTGTATGAAGTATAGGG